CTCAAAGGTAGAATAGCAATGCCTTCAGAATTCTGAAGGAAAATTATTTCTAATTTGGAATACTTATTAGAAAATTACAAGCTAAGTGTGAGGGCTCAATAAAGATAGTTTCAGACATGCAATGACCTGAGCATGCATCTTCTCTTGGGAAGCCACTAAATAATACGCTCCATCAAAACAAAGAAATAAAACAAGAACATAGAAGATAGGAGACCCAGAAATTAGGGGACCCAACATAGGAAAACAAATAAGAGCAATTCCCCAGATGACCTTAAAACATCCTAGGCTGCACATTAGAATTACCTGGGGAGTTTTAAAAGCCCTAAAGCCCAGGCCACAATACAACAGGATCTCTGAGGGGAAGACCCAGGCATCAGTGAATTTTAAAACCCCCCAGGTGATTCCCATGTGTAGATGAGGTTGAGAACCATTCAGTGAAAGGAAACTCCCAAAATAACAGCTGTGTAGGAGGCCAAATGAACAACCAGCCCCGGTTAAGGCAGAAGACGGCAAGAGGGCTGTTTCCAGGAGGGAAAGGAACCCGAAACTGACAAGCTTTCTCACAGGCACAAAATGGAAAATTTTGTGGAAATTTGCATCAGAAACACTTGGTGGAACAGTCACAAAATCTGAAGGAAGGCATTCAAATAAATGTTCAGAGGAAACTAAGCCAATGTTAGCAAAATTTTTGAAAAGTTGTAAAAGAAAGAAAATGTAAAGTATACTAACTGGCTTGGCAGTGAGAAAAAATTTATGTAGTCATAGTAAGAGAAAGCATGAAATACTGAATAGTTTTATATTAGGATAATGGAGAGGAAGGAATAAATTAACAAAATCTAAACTTGATTAGTCAAGCAATAGCAATATATACATTGGGTAGATGAATCCAAATAACAAACAGCTAGGAGAGTGTGGTGGGAAGAATAATGGCCCCCCAAAGATGTCCACGTCTCAATGCCTGGAAGCTGTGAATGTCACCTTACATAGCAAAAGGGACTTTGCTGAAATTGAGGATTCTGAGATAGAAGAGGATCCTGGATGATCCAGGTGAGCCCAATGTAATTACAAGGGTCCTTACAGATGGAAGGCAAGAAAGTCAAAGGGAAGTGATGTGAGGATGAAAGCAGAGGGTAGATGCAGCCACATGCTGAGGGGCCAGAGTGTTGGCAGCCAAAGGGAAGCTAGAAGAGGCAAGGAACGGATCCCCCCACCCCCCACTTTGTGCCTCCAGGAGAAGCCAGCCCTGCTGACACCCTGATTTTAGCCCCTTCATACTCAATGCTGACTTCTGACCTCCACATCTGTAATGGAACAAATCTGTGCATCTTAAGCCACTAAGTTTGCAGTAGTTTGTTACAGCAGCAATGGGAAGTTTTTTTAGAGAGGCATAACTGACATAACATTATATTAGTTTCACGTGTACAACATAACGATTCAATGTTTGTGTATATTGCAAAATGATCACCTCAATAAGCCTAGTTAATATCTGTCACCATACATAGTTACAAAATGTTTTCCTTGTGACTGGAACTTTTAAGATCTCTCTTAGCAACTTTCAAATACACAGTCCAGTGTTGTTAACTAGAGTCACATGCTGGGCCTTACATCCCCAGGACTTATTTTAGAAGTAATGGGAAATTAATGCAAGGAGTTTAAAATATTGGGAGTGGGGAAGAGGTGGAAAGGGTGCAAGGGACACAGGTATTTCTTTAAGTGCTGACTTTTTTTATTATGTTCAGTTAGTCACTGCCTAGTACATCATTAGTTTTTGATATAGTGTTCAATGATTCCTATAACACCCAGTGCACATCACAACACGTGCCCTCCTTCATACCCATCACCCTGTTGACTTTTTAAAAACATGTGGCACATGGATAAAAGTTAAACCAAACTGCACTAGGGCTTCTAAGGAGCGGAAGTGAGAGGAAATGGCTGGAAAGGCATGAGCCATGGAGCAGCGCCCCCCAAACATTAATGTGTACACAAGTCACCACAGACTGTGTTAAAATGCAGCTTCCTATTCAGGTCTGGAGTGGAGCCTGAGATTCGTCTATACCTCTATAGGCTCCCAGGTGATGCCCGTATTTACTGGTCCACAGACCCCATACTTGGGAGTGGCAGAGACCTAGAGTCTATGTAGAGAAAGGAATCATGCAGGGAGGGAGGAGGGCAGAGGGCAGAAAGGGCTTTGTGCTTAAGCTAAAGCATTTTGACTTTATCTTTGAAGATACAGGGAGCCACTGGGCAGTGGAACCACAGAATGAGATTTTTTACATTATTCTTCTCTGTAGAAGAGGGGGCAAGAGGCAACAAAGTGGACTGGAAACCATTTAGTGTATAACCAGAAATATTCAATGTTAATGATTAGGGAAGGCATGATGATGCTGGGACTTCTGACTACACACACACACACACACACACACACACACACTACAGAGAACTGTATCAATCCATGTGTAAGTAAACACTGCATCTTTTGTCTGAAGTTCTCTTATGTATCACTTAAAGGAATTTTCTTGTAGTCTTGATGGAATTGCATAGTATTTATTAAATTCCCATCTGCCCATGGAAAATCCACATTTAAATAAGTGTGATACGAACAATTTTCTCAGAAAAGTTGCATTATGTTAAAATTTTTTTTTTTTAACTTGAAGCCTTGCAGCTCATCACAACCCATATAAATGGGTACCACACAGTGTTCACATTCCATACGTTGATAATAATTGAGGCAAACTGCTAGTGTCTTCTTTCCACATCACAAAAAGTGCCCTGTATATGTGGGACGTTCCTAAAGCGTCAGAAATGGTTCTGCAGAGCATTCTCAGAGCCATTCTATGCATATGGATTAGACAGAATGAGAAGAGTACAATATGGGTAAAAAAAAAAAGTCACTTAAGTATATTGAACACCAACAAATTGTTAATAAGTTTGGTGTTGAAAGGGGAGCAGCTATTGAATGCAGCTCATCAAGAACCATCCTGGGTGCAATGCTGCCCCTTATTTTCTATTAATAGCTCTGAGGATCGTGTGACTAATGCAATAATCAATCCACAGAAAACACAGCTCTGGGAGAAATGACTCATGTTTTGGACAACAATATTAAAATTCAGGATGATCTTGTTAAATTGAAGAAACGAGCCAAAAATCAATTGAGCAGGCACACACAGTTCTGCCAGGTGTTTCAGACCATAGGATTCAGGAAGCCCTCAAGCAAAATCAAGCCCATCCTGGCAGCCAAGCACCCAGTTGATAACGCTATCCAATTCCTGTCTTTCCTCCCCTCCCTCACAGCCACAGGGTATCTGGATAGACGTCAAGTACTGTCCCTACACAGGATTTAGCTCTACTACCTACAGCTTCTCATTCCTCTAGTGCCCTACAGTGAGGGAAGAGATAACAGATATATCAGGACCTGTGGCAAATCTAGACTTTGGAACACATTAGAAGTGGACCAAAAAAATAAGGAACTTTTAAAATTTTGTAAGAGCATAAGGACCTTTTCCCAAGGAGTGTCATAATGTGTTCTTGACATTTTAAAACATGATCACTGGGGCGCCTGGGTGGCTCAGTCGTTAAGCGTCTGCCTTCAGCTCAGGTCATGGTCCCGGGGTCCTGGGATCGAGCCCCGCATCGGGCTCCCTCCTCTGCAGGAAGCCTGCTTCTCCCTCTCCCCCTCCCACTGCTGTGTTCCCTCTCTCGCTGTGTCTCTCTCTGTCAAATAAATAAATAAAATCTTTAAAAAAAAAAAAATAAATAAAAAAAAAATAAAACATGATCACTAAAGAGAAAGGGGGATGAAGGAAATGAAGATCAGGTTTCTCTAACATCTTATTTACCTACCCAAACTCTGGAAAAGTGAACACTCTTGAAAACTTAAACCCATCTCTTTTCTTTCAACTACAACCCTTTCCCAGAGGCATCCTTAATTACACTTACTTTCTTGTCCCCAGTTAGCTAGTCAATAACCAAGGCCCTGCCAATTTCACCTTCTAAGTGGTTCTCTGACCTGTGCTCTCATTTCCACCCTCCTACCCATTGCCCTACTTCATGCTTTCATCATTCCTCACCTGGATTAACACAGAGCCTCTTAGAGGCCTCTCTGCCTCTCTATTCCTTTAGAGCCATCCTTCACATGGTTACCAGTGTGATTCTGCTAAAATACAAATCTGACCTTGAACCTTCCCTAAAAATGTTTAGTACCTTCAGCACTCACAGAATGAGGTCCAAGTTCTCCAATCATCATACAAATTTCTGCAGTGTTCTGCCAGGAGCACCACAAGCTCCACGTGTGACGCATTTCTGGAAGTCTTGATGTCTGGGGGATGCTACTAGCATTTTGTGCCCAGGGGTCAGGGTTGCTACGCATCCTGCAGAACCCAAGACAGCCTACACGATGAACTACCCCACCCAAATTGCCACCGGAACTACCCCACCCAAATTGCCCCTCATGGTTCTTGCATCCTTCTCTAGAAGAGTGAGCTACACAACTTTTGTTCCCTAACACAAGCTGTGCATTTTCTTGCCATTATACCTTAATTCTTACTTCTGTGTTCTAATTCCTGACACCCAGAATGACTCTTCATGTTACTGACTCATCCTTTAAGCTTTAACTTTCTAATTGTTATATGCTCTACGCTCACCTGTTCACTTTATAGCTATGGTTTTCTCCTTCACTTAACTAAAGTCCTTCCAGGCAGAAACTATATGCACTTGATAGACCTTATGTAAACATAAAAATGTGAAGGATAGAAAAATAGATGGATGACTAGGTGAGATCAAAGGCTTTTCAGAGGCTGAAAGGTGCCCATAATGTAGATAACAAGTACAGCATTATTTTATAGCTGAAGGAAGCAACAGTTGAAGTCAAAGTTTCAGATCAGGTCATCTGCCTTTAGTCCCAACAATCTACAATATAAGGACACTCTATGCCCTTAGTCTTCATTCACTAAATGCCTCTTTATAAAGTACCAGATGGCAACCCTGCATGGCATTCCACTTACCCAAGCTGAAGACTGTGGGTCACGAAGAGCAATTTGATGGGTACTTCTGTCTGGCAACTCTGTGTCCAGTCTGCTCAGGAACTCAGCAGTTTTGCTAGCAGGAACACAAATACGTGTTAGTGCCTTCATGAAAATAGAAATATTATTTATTGTGCCTTTGGATACTAGCCTAGACTTTTATTGGGTGATAACTGAAAATCTCCTGAGTAGAACAAAAGGTGAGTTGAGAACAAGGTAGCGTAGAAGACCAAAACAAAATGCTATTGCAAGACCACATTCTTGAAGAACATTAGTCTGAAAAATATAAAATTGTTTGTGGAATGTGAATCTATGATTTCATATTTTCTACTTTGTGTAGTTTGACATGGAGATAAATGCTCTCTCAGATTCCACAGTGTGGGGTCCTAACTTCCCTTTTGAGCATTTAAAGCTTGACACTCAGACTTCACGACAGAACTGTGTTACACTGGGTCCCCTGTGACTGTCATTCCACACTGGTTTCACATGGCCCTTCACCTCCTTTCTCCTCTCATTTCCCTCATGGCTTTGACTGCTCTCAGGATACATAGCCCCTCCAATGCAGTAATTCTTTACCACATATGGATCATGGACCACCTCCCCTTTGGGATTCTAAAAGCAGCAATGGGCCCTCTCTCTCCACACAGACAGACAGACCCACACACCTTCGCATTTGATTTGTACCTCTCATGGAAGTTAAGAAGTGCTGCTGGTCTGGCCTGCATTTCTGACATCTCTTTTTAGCTCAGAAAGATTGGCCTAGAAATATCCTCAGTTCTAATAAGAAGTTCTTTGATTTTCCCTTAAAAACTCAAACCACTGGAGGCGCCTGGGTGGCTCAGTCAGTTAAGCGTCTGACTCGGTTTTGGCTCAGGTCATGATCTTAGGGTCATGAGATCGATCCCTGAGTCGGGCTCTACACTCAGCGGGGAGTCTGCTTGAGATTCTCTCTGTCCCTCCCCCTTTCTCCCTCCCCGTGCCCTCTCTCTCCCTCTCTCAAAAAATATTTTTTAAAAAGAAAAAAAACCCAATCACCCCAATTTCTTGTCTCCTCTATGTCAAGCAGAGCACACTAGAATTGTTTCCTAGCCCTTACTTCAATGACTTTCCCATGCTGCCTACCATTGATCTCTATTCCTTTGTCCTTTCCTCTTGTAATTTGTGGGATTTTTACCACTTTATTTCACATTCACAACCAAATACCTCATGGAGGTCTAATTTTTATCGCTTCAGCTCCTTGCAGCCTGCTCTCTGCCTGCCTCCTTCCCTCAGTTATCCCTCTTCTCCCCCCTAATATTTTAGTCCTACTGCTAGGATCCAATTCATCAAGCACTTAGGATGTGGGCATCAAAGGAAACACAACTGGTCTGGTAAAAATAAATGGTATCCAATGGAGGTAAAATCAAAACAAGGAATTCAAAATTAAACAGAGATGCCCACATCACTTCAAATAATTACTTAGATAGAACATGGCATTTGAACAAGGTCAGAAGCTTGAGTTAGGAAAGGAAGAGCAAAAAGTTAAGCGATGTACATAACCCTGAGAAACATAAGGCTTCAGCAGTTGAGACAAACAGCCTCTCCATTTGTCTAGGATTGCTTATCTTGCCCAGAGTAGACAAGGAGACTAATGAAGTCGCAGAGCTGGAAGCTGCCCCACTGTCTGGGGCTTTATGAAGTCATCAGTCAAAAGTGCTAAAAGAAGAGAGTTGCCAGAAGTTGGGATGAGATTCCTGAATATCCTTAGCTGAGTTCAGACATAGGAAATGCAGTGAAAAAGAAACACCATGATAAAACAAGGAAGGAACTTCAGGCCAAGTTGACTGGCAGCCCTGCACTGCGTGCTGACGGTTGCTTCTTAACTGTGGAGCCAACCACTAGCCACGGCCCTTATGCCAATGATCACTGCCCCACTTACGCCACAGGACCAAATCCTAACGATGGTCACAGGAATACAAGTATGGGTCTGTGCAGAATGTGGATTATTCCCCAAGATTAAGTACACAAACAAGCCAAGTTCCAAGCTACTAAACTAACTGGTATTTCTCTACTATTAGTACAGTGCCTAGGTATATACTCTAATTTCCATATATTGGCTAAACTGAATTGGGATCCTTGTAGGCAACCGTGGTCGTATTTAATAAAAATAAAATACACAACCTCCTTGAGGGCAAAAGTAGAATTTCCTGGTGGGACGTTCAACAAGACTAAGAACCCCGGACTGCAGCACTGAGTCACTTTTCCCTTGGAGTTTCTTGCCCTTTGTCATCCTGGGACTTTGCCACCTATTGAGGGAATGATCCTGTTTTGCTTTATCACTCTAACCCAAGCGTCAATAGAGGACTCCTTCCTTTATTCTCCACAGAACTGATGAAAGGATTACCAATAACTCAGACTTGGTTTAGATTTAGTTCACTCATGTCCAACTTAAGACCTTCAAGGGTCCTTCCTGCTTGTTTTTAGGGTGATTCCTATAGCTTATCCTAAAAGGTGTCTTCAGGATAACCTCACTTCACTATAACCCAGTTGCAGCAGAGAATTGCTAAATGTCCAAATTCATGTTCTCCTCTTCTAGTCACACAACTTGACTATATTTCCTGGCCTCCCTTGCAGTTGAGGTTGGCCACAGGGTCGAGTCTTGACCCCAAACATGAAAGGGAATGATGCATACCCCTTCCGGGACTAACTAATTATAAACTTCCCACACATGCTCCTCCACATGTTTTTCTCCTTCTGGCTGGCTGGAATAAAGATAATCTCCAGCACAAACTTGAAAGTTGTATACTGAAGTTAGGGAAGCCTATATTGGTTTGGGGCCTGCCTATATGAGTAGAGGGGGCCTCCACTCGAACTTGTTCACCCATGCTTTAAATGAGCAAGAAAAAAACCCCATATTACTCAATCTATATATATATTTTAAAGTCTATTACAGCACCTAGTGTACCCTCATAACACAACACAAGAGAATCATTTCTCCATTCAGGTGATCAATTCCAAAACTATAAGAGGTAGCCAAGAAGAGTTGAGGAAGAAGAGGAAAAAAAGGATTCTCAAGGATTCAGCTAGGCAGCTTACGTATTTCAGAACCTTCGTCGGGGGAGGGGAAGGTGGGAAAGGGGAAGAATCTGTTCATCCTTGAGCTTTGTCTTCCTGTCAGTTCTAGAAGCTACCTAGGCCCAGAGTATAAAAAAGTATGATAACCTTCCAGATGCTAGGGAGGGTGTCTTGCAAAACTGGTCGCTTTATAAATTGCTAATGGAAGGGAAAATTGATGTTACCGCTTCAGAGAGTATTTGACAATACTTAGTAGAGTTGAATATATGTATCATGTCTAGGTGCCTACTCTAGAGAAACTCTTGCATAGGTATTTAAAGACACCTGAACAGGGTCATTTAATCCAGCACCATTTGTAAGAGTCTCAGAGATAGAGAGAAGGAAGATAGAGGGAGCTGGGGGTGGGACAGGGGTGGGGGAGATGAGAATGGAAAGGAAGAAGGAAATGAACTAGATCTACATCAAGAATCAATATGGTTCAATTCCAAAAAACAGTATCCAGTAGGGGGAGGAAGGGAGTTGTGAAAGTATGATACAGTGATCAAAATATCTGAAGGACACAAACAACAGTCTGAATATATGAGTAGAGGGGGTTGTGTGGTTTCATATATATGTAATAAAATTGGAAAAATGTACATGATGAGAAAAAGAAAAGCAGCCCAAAGCATCTGGGAACTGTTCTGACACATCTACACCTCAATGTTATTACAAACTAATCTGACTAAGCCATGTCGTTCTACTAATGGACATAAATGATCCCACAGAGCATCCACTTCACATAAGTACATCTCACAAATGACCAAATATCCCCCATCTTGCTAAATGAATGGCGACTTCCTTACCAATTACAGCTTTATACTCATCTAGGCTGTCCTTCCTTTGGGTAAGATTTATTGAGACACCCAAACATAGAATTGTCCCCACATGCTGACAACACATAATCCAGAGCAATCCCCTGCTTCTTTAGACCCTTCCCAAAATTACCCAACCAAAACCTAAATCCTAATCAGTTATTCCTAGCAGCCTTACTGAGCTATCCTTCCATTTCTTATGGTGCATTTTCTTTATCTGCAACAAGTAATAAACCCAGCATGTTCAACTACAGGTGTATCCTTGGTGGTCTTTGGCTGAAGGGCACTGACAAATGTTACATACTAGAACAGCTGTTACTGCTAGGAGAATGACAGAGGGATGGGGGAAACAGTGAAAGAGTTCATTCATCTCCATGCCATTTAAATTTCTTTTTAAAAATGAACCACATGTAAGCAAAATCTTAGGTATGACTTTAGTGGTTGATACATATTTTCTGTGATTTTGAAATGTTTCTCAAAAAGACAAAAAGCATACACACCATTGTGGTGCATACTGGGGAAAAGCTTTACACATGCCATTCTAGGTTCCTTTGAACAATAATTTCCAAAATGCCAATAGGAAGACCTGTGTGAGGCTGGAACCATGAGAATCATCTATGGTGCTTCTTGGAAATTACTGTACTCAAGACTTGGACTTTCTAATTCAGCATACCTGGAGTAAGATCTGAGAATCTATGTTTCTCAAAAGCACCCCTGTTGATTTTGAGAACTATTATAGTTGTACAGATGGATATTTAATATGCATAATTCTCTTAGGTCCATGTGATCCTGACTTAAGATTAAATCATGTTATAACACTCATTTGAAAACAAAACCTCAGTGTGTCTTAGGAGCCCTTCTATATGAGTATTATCTAACAGTACATTCTTCCTGTGTTTCACAATAGCTTCACAAACCTGAACTTCCCCACCATAAGGTTAGGTGAGCAAGTAATCATTCTTACATTTACACATGCATTTGTGCAGGCAACAGATATTTCTTTAGTCTCTGCTTTGTGCTTAGCAATATGGGTTATCAGATAAACTAAACAGATACCGTTTTGCCTGAGTTAGTTTCATGTAAGTGGATGTGAACAAAATCCATTCATACATTTGTCAGCACTCAGAGCTAAATCAGTAGGGAAAAATTTGAGGGTAACCTGATATTAGAA